TTTATAAGCAGCTTGCATTCAGATCCTTATAAATATTTTGTGCCCCTTGGCAAATATAAGTTTTCCAAGAAGCTTTTGGAAAGATTGATTGACAGCTCAAAATTTGAGCTGTTTCTTAGTTTTATGCTCCTTCAAAGTGATTTTCATAGCTGAACAGAGAAGCAGACTTATTTGAATTTTGTGGTTATCAAGAGATGTCAATTTCAGAGGCTTCATTTTATCACAACAAAAATCAAAAAGAAAAAATACAAAATTACATGAAATTCCTGTGAGAGTGTAAGTCCATCTAAGTATTTTGGCCCTTACATAAATAACAATGTAGATTTTTCTTCTAGAAATTAGTCTCCTGATGTTAACAGAAATTTCCATCAGTTACCTAATGTTCCTTATTTTCAGTTTCATTATCTGAAAAATGAAGAGGAAGGTGGGAATGATACCTAACTCAAGAGTTATCATGAAGATTACATCTATTAATACCCACATATCACATTAATACCATGGCTTACACATAGTGAGTGCTTAGTAAATGTTCCCTATTAAAATTATCTCACTAGATCTATTCCTTTTAGATGTAAGTATAAGGAAATCTTATGTCTCAACAGATTGCAGTTTATGCACTAATTTGGAGCTATCAGAAATTCTTATATACGACTGAAACTCTGAATTAAAGGAATATAGGGAATATTATGAGAATTATGAGGAAATTTTTTTTGTTGAATATATTTGTGCTGTTTATAGTATGCTGCCACCTTCTCCCTCTTTTCATCCTTTTCTTCCTCTCTCTTCATGCTTCCTATCCTAAATGTTATACAAAATCATTCAATTTTGACTATTCCTAGGCATGATCTGAGTTTAAACTCTCACGTCATTCATCTTGACCATTGCAGTAACTTCCTGTTTTACTGAACGCTTTTTGTTTGTACCAAACCCCCACTGATAGCTATCTTGTCTTAAGAAGTAGATATAATCACATCCTTTCTTGACCATCTCTCCCCTTCTGTCTGTACAGCAGTCCCTCTCTCAGACCTATCTCATGCTTACACAATCATATGGTGTGCATACCTATTCTCTTTTTAAATACTTTTTTTTGCTGGTTGTTGTGCTTGAACTTAGCCTGGGCACTGTCCCTCAGCGCTTCAGCTCAACGCTAGCACTCTACCTCTTGAGCCACAGTGCCACTTTTGGCTTTTTGTGCTTATGTGGTGCTGAGGGATCAAACCCAGAGCCTCATGCATGCAAGGCAAACACTCTATACTGAGCCACCTTCCCAGCCCCACTTTTTAAATTCTTTGTATTTTTGAAGCTGTGGTTCCTGGTCTCCTGAACAGAGCTGTTGAGTTACTAAGTATCATTTCTGAATCCATATACTACTCCAACAAAACTTTCTGAAATTATCACAATAGAAATTAGTCTTTTCTCTATTGACTCTTTTTTTCCTTTTTCCTGGGGTCAACCAGTATGGTTGCATGCTAGGTGAAGGCTCTACCACTGAGCTGTGCTTCAGTCCCTGAAACCCCTCTTCTTAATTTGAGAAGTGATTTTTATTTCTCATAGTTCTAGAGTTTGGGAAGTCCAGGAGCCAGGTATTGGCATCTGATAAAGGCTTTGTTATTGTGTCATAATTTGTCAGAAGGCTTTGCAAGGATGAGTTCGAGGACAGATTGACTTCTGATGATTATACAGGCCCTTGAGGCTGTTCTCTCAATGATCTAAAGGCAGAAAAGTTAATGACCAAGACTAAAGACTAGAACAACTGGGGAGGCTGACTGAAACCTTAATTTTGAGGTGCAGTGCTCTCTGTAGCCTTTGCTCCTAGTTTCTTTCACAGTTTCTAAAATCCTTCAAATTGGTAAGTATGTTTTTGGTATACTAATGAATTGCCTGGTGGCCTGCAGATACTAGGTAGTTTTAGAATAGTAGCTAGTCCATGGGGGGAATCCAAGGACTGGGACTTTCAGCCCCAACCTCTAACTCGTAGGGAATGCAGCTGAAGGTTGATCTGGGGTGTGATTTAACCACTCACCCCTATAAAGTGAGGCTTCCATAATAACCTAAAGGACAGGTAGGGAGAGCTTTTTGATAGCTGACCATCTCTAGGAAGTTCCTGGAGAGCTTGGTTGGTCAACACTACTTCCTCTATGCTTCACTCTGTGCATGCTTCCATCTGGTGTCCTTTATGTAAACCTAGAGATGTAAGTTCCTTGAGCTCTGTTAGTGGCCCAATAAATTTGTTGAATCTAAGAAAGAAATGATGATGACCCTAGTTTATAGCCACAATCAGAAGCATAAGCAAAACAACCCTTGGTTTTTGATTGGCACCTATAGTGCAAAGGTACAGGGCTGTGGTCAGTCCTGAGTAACTGTGCCTTCAGCTATTCTCAGCTAGTGTCAGAACTGAATTGAATTTGAGGACTTAGTTGTAGAATTGTTTGCTAAGCCACAGGTGTTTTCTGTGGTGATTGTTGAGTTTAAGTGAATTTATTTTTTCTTCATACCTGGGGTCAGAAGCAAGTTTAAGGGCATAGTAGAAATAAAGCTTTGCTTTTTTTTTTTTTTTTCTCCTATGCAGTGTTCACATAAGGGGAAGATGTCTGCTGGTTTTGATGAGGAAAGTAACTTTTAGAGAATCTTGTTAGTTTTAATGTAGGCAATTTAAGCTTTATATCAGATCATCTAGCTGTGTACTCTCATATTGAGGCATACTGAGACACTTTCCTTGTTTTTTTCTTTTTTTAAAAAAAGGTGGAGCTGTGGCTCAGGTGGTACAGCACTAGCCTCAAGCAAAGTAGTTCAGGGACAGTGCTCAGGCCCTGAGTTCAAAACCCCTGTACGTGTGTGCGTGTGCGTGTGTAGAAAGTTTGGAATGATAAATTTGTAAGCAAGTTAGACACTTCATGTACATTAAAAGACAGCTTCAGAGTATGTAAATAAAATTTACCTATAGAAATTATATTTAGTTAAAAATATTTACCTTGTGTAGTACATTTTGACCTTGGCTTTAAAATTGTTCTCTAAGTCAAAGGGTTTTTGTTGTTGTACAGTGGTAAGGATTGAGATCTAGGTCTCACTTGGGTGGCCAGGTGCTTTACTATTGGACTGTTGCAACCCCAAAGCACCTGGCTTGTACTTTTATCTGCTTTCCACCTTCTGGTGAAATGAATTAAAATGAGGATTGCATATGAAAGCATTTTTGTCTGCCAGGAGCCACAAACAGAACTAAATTTTTCTTGTACTTTTTTTGTTCTAATTCTTATGAGAGCCAGTATGTAGGGAATAAGTATGAAAGGTTCCTCAAATAAGAGAAATGGTGATTCTCAGATGGGCAGGGACCTGGTCCCTGTGTATAGAGGTGGAGTTCCAGTTACACTTGTGCTCTCTCTTATCAGGCCCCTTCATACTTTGCATGTCTCATTATAATCATTATTGACTCCACCTTAGGGTGTGATTTTTCACTATTTTATAATTAGGTTGAAGTTACTGTAGTATTCCTTTGTAGCTATTCTGGCAAGTGCGTGCCATTTACCACCAGGGAATGCCCCTAATATTGTTTAAGAGCAAGCTAATTAAATGTCACTGTGTATTTGATTGATTACTAACTGTGCCTGTCTAACAGAAGTTAAGCTACTTTAAAGCCATTGCTGGATTAATAATTTGCTTGTTTTTCTTATTTTTCTTAGTTTTCTATTTCCTGGGAGGCTTGTAGATTCCTTTTTCCTTTCTTTGGCTCCCTTCATTTATTGACTACCACATACTTTGGAAGTCATACTGTCTCAGCTGAACAAATGTTTTTTGGAGATGGGGAGCTTCTCATAATAGAAAATTTCTTTGATTCTTTACCACTAGCATTTTAGTCTAATTTTGGTCTTAACCAGTCCTCTCCTAACACTTCATAGGATAGAGGAATCTACCATGTTTGAGATGCTTAGAAAAGACATTTTCTCTTTGTCAGATGAAGAAAATAATTATCTCCTCCTCCTCCCCCACTGTGAGACTGAACAATTAGGGATGCCTGGTTGCACATGCCCCCTCCTCTTGGTTGTTGTTTAATTTGTCAGGTGTCACTGTTCGGGTCATTTGGTGAATATACATTACTTCTTAAGTAAACAGCTTACATTTTGACCGTTCATAAAAGTTGGAAAGTATAGGTAAACAGGAGAAGGTTAAGGTCATTTATGATCACTATGGTAATTAACAATGTTTACATTATATGAAAAATACATTATGTTGACAGGTTGGATTATGATTTTTTGTGTATATATGGTTAAAATGTATAACATATAAGTTTTAAAGCAATTTTTGTTTTTGTGGGTCGTCCTAGGGCTGGATGCTGTCCTTGTCCTTTTTCTTTTTTTTTTTTTTTAAATCAAGGATTGCTCTTTTGCAGGGGGGCGGTGAGGGGCAGTTTATTGGAGGTAAAAGTCTCACAGACTTATTCTGTCTGGGCTAGCTTCAAACTGATCCTCAAATCTCAGCCTTCTGAGCAGCAAGAATTACAGGTGTGAACTACCAGCACCCAACAAAATGAGTATTTTTTAAGTAATAAAAATATTTAATCACTACTGTCTCACCCTTCCCCCAAAGAAAATAACATAGTAGATGTTAGAGAAAATATTTTTAAAAATAATTCACTCATTTTAAATTATTTCCTATCAGAAATTAATAAATTCAGTAATAGTATTTTTACACTTGTTTCTTCTTGGAATTTTGTGTTAGTCGTCTAAGGCATTTGTGAATTCTATGATATTAAGACTGACTCATCTGACCTTTTCAACTATTAAGCACACCATACCTCCTATTTTCTATTTCCATTTAAATAGCTGATACTGTTTCATCTGCTTTCAAAATAGTATATATAGCCTTAATATAATTGCAATAAGCCTAACTGCAAGTTACTATATAATTAAGCAGTTTTATTAAATAATACTTTATATGTTAAAGACTTCAAACTCCACATATACACATATACAACAGTTCTAATGTCCATTTTTTTCTTTCTTCAGCCACTTCAAATAAATAGCTGGAAAGCACACTCAGCATCCAGAAGAGAAATAAGCTTATTGGTGTTGAGCTGTCTGTCCCCTGTGTCAGCATTCCGTGCTTTATGACAAGAATTATTGGGAACAGAAAGAAGGTGGTTTGTAACATAAGGTAATTGTTTATATGAATCTGTTGTTTCATTTTTAAAAACATTTGTAAATTTTCTGAATTTCTTAAGATTCAAGAGATAAGATATTTTGTTTCTTACATAGATTTACTTCTGATAGAAAGTCTGTAGGCTTTAAGAGTGAATCAAGCATTTCTAAGATGAATTCTGAATTTAGTACATCAACAAAAATTATATCCATGTATGTTGAGCATCTAATTTATAGCTTATCCTAATTTACCAAGTTTTTCCTAAAAATGTTTGTGTTTCTATTGTTGCTTTTTATTCCTGTGTGAAATAGATTATAGACTAATCCAGGTTAAGTCAGATAATTAGTTTCTAGAAATACTTTTCTTTCTGGACAGGCTCTCATATTACATTAATTAGCTATAGCAAAAATAAATCAATCAATCAAAATAAATCCAGTGTTGGGGATTTAGCCCAGTGGGGCTGGCAAGTGCAAGGCCCTGATTTGGTCCTCTGATCTGGGGGGGAAAAAAATCTTAACTCGGCACATTCAATAAATGGAGAAATGTTGGAGAGTAGGAAGTATCTATGCCAGGTAATGGTCATATTTTTTCATCTCAATTTTAAGATTTGTTTTTTTAAATTAGACTGCTAGATTTGGGGAGATTTAATTTAGGACTGCTATATAAGAACAGTTAATAGTTGTGAAATCTCTTATTTCTTATGTTGTTTCTGTGTAAAGATCTCTTATTAGGAATAAAATCAGTGAAATCTCTAATGGTTGCGATCACTTTTGAAAAGCACCTCAGATAAGTTTATAGGGGTTCCCTTCATAATGCAACAAAGCCCAATATTACAAATAAGATCAAGAACAGTCAGTTTTTGAAAAATGTAATAATCGATTTTAAAGCATGTTTAATGCAAAAATTTCCAGAAGTTACCTTATTCTCCATTAAATTCTACAGATAACTTTGTGTCTCCCAGCAACTTACCTGTGTATTTTGTTTGCAAATGAGTAGTCTAAATTTCATAGCTTAAAGTTAGCCTGTAAAGTTATAAAATGTAAAACATAAAGGTAAAGATAAGTGGAGGAGATAAATGGTGAAGATAGCAAATACCATCAGGAATATCTGTCTAAAATACAGGAAAACTAGTACAAAAATGGCCTGATCTCTCCCTTCTAATCTGACATTCATTTATTGTGGTAAATGAACTATTTGGTGTATGACTAGCATTCATAAACTTATACATTTGTATAGAGATTTATTTCACTGAAACCTACCATTCTTGACTAAACAGATTAACTGAGTTTTAAAATTGGCCCTGACCAATCTTATTCTACTTTACTCTTTAAAGAGCTACTATATGTCTTGAAATTCTTTAGTTTTCCATGAAAGAGACCATTGAGCACCAGCGGTAGTTGTGAGCTTAGATAGTCTTATAGTAAAGCCTCATTCTTTTATCATTTTCTAAGCTTCAGTATTGGCTCCTTTCAAAGCTATGGTTGCCATTAAGTTTGTTTTCTAAGTGCGAAGACTATAGTAGATCAGCAGCAGCAAACTATAAATCTGCTGTATGTATATGAGACAGGTAACAAGTGACAAATATTAAAGGAGATAATAGGGAAATGAAAAAGTAGTCTTAATTGTAGTGCTTTTATGGCAACATAATAGATATAAAAAGCATCGGAGAAAAATTATATATTAATAGTGCATGATATAATTGGGGTGCGTTGTTGATCATCCCTAAGACTTATGTAGCTAAAATCTCTGGCCTAAGAGTAAAATTTTATTTCCAATTATGTCATGTTAGCTGTTTATGTCTTGAAGTAATATCTGACTCATGATACATCTGAATCTAGGTAATTTAAAATACAGTAAGGATTTTCTTTTCCTTTTTTTCCCCTCAGTAATAGAATTATAACTCAAACAGCTCATTTAGTAAGTTAGTAGGCCCTCTGGTTTCACATGGAACTATTTTCTGGATAAAAACCAATGCCAACACGGCTTTGGTCCTTGTCCCTGAGGCCATTGTCTATTTTGACTAGCTTTGGGAAGTACAAACATCTGGCCTGCTCAGTGATGGTCCTTTGAGGTCTGGCCCAAATGCTCTTTTATCTGATCATTTTTCTATATTTTAACTTAGAACTGGAACAAAACAGATAGCTTAAATAAAAATGTGTTTTAAATTATTAGTGTTGCTAGTTCATTCTGAAAATTAGAGCATTTAAACTTCTTACCTCTTGCCTATAGTTAAAACTATGAAGTTAAGCAACTTTAATTATTGGTGACCCTACCATCATAAGACACATTCTGAGTATGCTTTAGTTTCACTTCATTTAATTGTGTAGGTTTGATCACAGAGGAGCCCTATCTTGTTAAATACTTTATATATATTGGAGAAGTAAGACTGTAAAATTAGATGTGTAATGCTGGTCTTGGGGCTTGAACTCAGGGCTTGGGTGCTGTCCCTGAGCTTTTTTGCTCAAGGTTTACACTCTACTCCTTGAGCCACAGCTCCACTTCTGGTTTGGGCTGGCTTTGAACCATAATCCTCAGATCTGAGCCTCCTGAGAACCTAGAACTATAGGCATGAGCCACTGACACCCAGCTCATGTTTGCCTTTTAAGAAACAAGTGTATAAGCAATGTAGATTAAGATAATGACTATCATTGTGAAGATTAAAAGGTATTTGTGTCTTGAAAAATAAATAAATAAAAACAAGTAAACCAGACTGGTCTTGCAGTGATTGCAGCATTATCACCTAACTTTTTGTCTAGAAACTAGTAGAGACAATATTTTATCTCATGACATGGTAGTATCTTATGTCATAACAGAAGTGTCTAATTATGTGTTTTGTACCACTCCCTTGTACATGTACACTTGTCTGTGCAAATAGGAATTTTCACATCAGGATATTGAAAATATCTTATACTGTGATAAAAAAAAAAAAAAGAAAACCTTGCAAAAGGACTTTAGATTTAGGTCATTTTTATGGTAAACATAATTACTGAGTAACAGTAAAGAAAGTTGTTTGTCCTTTAGGCTAAAGCAAAAGAAACCTGTACTCAAAGTACATTTCTATATTTATGAACTTTGAGATCTGTCTAGTCTCACTAGTCGGTTTGGCTCACTCTGCAGATGCAGGAGTGAAAGTCTGAGGTATACCAGTGCCGTGTGTTCTGAGTGCTGCCACAGAGGTCCTGATCACCAGTCTACTAGAAGAATTAGGATGCTCAATACATCACCCTCTATGGGCACTGATTCAGTCAACGATGAATTAATGTTACACTGGCTTGTAATATTAATATTGCAGTGCTTTTATAATGCTCATAAAAGGTTTTTCTGTCAGTGAGGCATTTTGTACTTTAATGCTCTGTGAAGCAAGATGCCATTTCTGCTTTACCCAGGAGGGAACAGATTTATAGATGTTTCGGTGGTTTGTTATGTCATTATGTCACATTACTAGAGAGTGAGTGGCAGAGCTAAATATTGAACTCAGGTTCCTAACTCCAAATCAGTGCCCTTTTGGTGAACTTTACTCCCTTGGGTAATTGTAGCCAAAATTAACAGAAGTCACAGATCATTTGAAGACAAATACTTTTAGGGGTTATTTTAGAAGTTGAACATTTGAAATCTTTTCATCTGTTAGAAGAATATAAAAGCTTACTAAATTAACTACAATTTGAACCCTTACACTTGAATGTAATATAGGAAGCATTTAAATTATCTACATACTTAGCAGATAAAAAAACTTAACTGAGCAGTAAAATTCCCTTTGCCCCCATCCACCTACCCTTTCCTACCTATTGTACATGATATGACTGACCTTGTAAACTGAGGCATTATCCAGGACAATCTCCTAATAGTGGCTCCCCTCAGCAGGCTTCACTCAGGAAGAGCCTCATGCTCTGGGTGCAGCAGCAGTTCTGTCCACAGAGGTTCTTTCTGATCAGTAGAAGCATGTCCGGGATACTCAGATATATGGAAAGGCTTTACTACCATTTGGTGTATTTTTTAAGTAGTTTTGTATAAATTTGTTTTTAATGTGTTCTAAAGTAACAATATGGATAGTTTTTTTTTAAAGTATAATAAGTAAGGAGTCTAGGCGATTCAAAGTAGCATTTGCCTCTATCCTGGCAAGTTTTTCATCATAGCTTGGTGGCTTAAAATTAGGAGAACTACACATGGAAGGACATTTTAGTTTGTGTATCCTGTCGTAGCAAAACTAAAAAAACTAACATGTTAGAACTAAAAGGCAAGTATAATGCTGTCAATGAATATTTTATCATGTATACAAACATAAAATGGTAAGTATTTTAGGATTAGGCTTAAACTCACATGTGTTCAAGTGATCAATTAACATTTTAGCAAAACTACTGTTTATAATCAGGGCGTAAACCACTGGTAAGTCTTTAGAGTGTCTTTTTTTTTTTTTTTCTTTTTGCCAGTCCTGGCCCTTGAACTCAGGGCCTGGACACTGTCCCTGGGCATCTTTTGCTCAAGGCTAGCATTTTACGTCTTGAGCCACAGTGTCACTTACGGCTTTTTCTGTTTATGTGGTACTAAGGAATCAAACTTCATGCATGCTAGGCAAACACACTACCACTGAGCCACATTCCCAGCCCTAGAGTGTCTTTAGTGAAGTACCACAGTAGACATTTGACAGGCATAGTGGATGAAAAGAATGAGTGTGTAGTGACCTAGTTACCCAGCTGCCATAGAGTTCGGAGCCTTAATTTTACTGCTTCTAGCATTTTTTGCTTAGCTTACTAATTTCCTAGATTATTAAATAGGGATATATCTAACCATAAGTAGTGCCTTAAGAATGCCTGAAACACAAAATGATTTTTCAAATATTTGACATGATGTTTCAAATGTTGCTAAAAGGAGAAAGGAGACAAATTGGTAAGTCTACTGAATTAGTCTTATGTAGAAAATCAAGAAAATTGTAAAATTTGTGAAGTTGTTGGAACTAATATTTTAAATATTGTAAGTGAAATGTTGTTTAATTTAAGAATAGAGTTTATATAAAGCTC